AACGGGGTAATGCCATGTGGCAAAGTGTACACTGAAATGTTCACCATAGTGTACATGTGGCATGGTCCTTATAGATTGAACTTTGCTATTTGTACATTGATTTTCAACACGTTGTTTGACACTTGCATTGTTGTCAATCGTCAATTGGATGGTAAAACTGTTTGAAATTTAAACTATCCAACAGGGTAATGTCACGCGACAAAGTGTAAACTAAAGTGTACACCATAGTGTACATGTCGCTAGGTTCTTACTAATTGAACTTTGCTATTTGTACACTGATTTTTGATACTTTGTTTGACATTTGCATTGTTGTCAAGCGTCAATTGCATGGGAAAACTGTTTAAAATTTAAACTGTTAAATAGGGTAATGTCACGTGGCAAAGTGTAAACTTAAGTGTACATGTTGCAAGGTTCTTACCGATTGAACTTTGCTATTTGTGCACTGATTTTTGACACATTTGACACTTGCATTGTCATTAAGTGTCAATTTGATGGGAAAACTTTTTGAAATTTAAACTGCTCAACAAGGTAATGTCACGATGCAAAGTGTAAACTAATGTGTACACCATAGTGTACATGTAGCAAGGTTCTTATCAATTGAACTTTGCTATTGGTACACTAATTTTTAACACGTTGTTTGACACTTGCATTATTGTCAATCGTCAACTAGGTGGTAAAACTATTTGAAATTTAAACTATCCAACAGGGTAATGTCACGCAGCAAAGTGTAAACTAAAGTGTACACCATAGTGTACATGTCGCCAGGTACTTACTAATTGAACTTTGCTATTTGTACACTGATTTTTGATACTTTGTTTGACACTTGTATTGTTTGTCAAGTGTCAATTGCATAGGTAAACTGTTTGATATTTAAAATGTCCAACAGGATAATGTCACCTGTCGAAGTGTAAACTAAAGTTTTCACCATAGTGTACATGTTGCAAGGTCCTTAACGATTGAACTTTGCTATTTGTACACTGATTTTTGACACGTTTGACACTTGCATTGTCGTCAAGTGTCAATTGGATGGGAAAACTTTTTGAAATTTAAACTGCCCAACAAAATAATATCACGATGCAAAGTGTAAACTAACGTGTACACCATAGTGTACATGTAGCAAGGTTCTTATCGATTGAACTTTGCTATTTGAACACTGATTTTTGACACGTTATTTGACACTTGCATTGTTATCATGTTGTGTTAATTGGATGAGAAAACTATTTGAAATTTAAGCTGTCCAATCGGGATATGTCATGCGGCAAAGTGTAAACTAAAGTGTACAGCATAGTGTGCATGAAACAAGGTTCTTGCCGATTTAATTTTGCTATTTGTACATTGATTTTTGACACGTTGTTTGACACTTGTATTATTGTCAAGTATGAATTGGATTGGAAAACAATTTACAATTTAAACTGTCCAACAGGGTAATGTCACGTGGCAAAATGTAAACTGAAGTGTATACCATAGTGTACATGTAGCATGGTCCTTACTGATTCAACATTGTAATTTGTACACTGATATTTGACACATTGTTTGACACTTAAATTGTTATCAATTGGATAGGAAAACCATTTGAAATTTAAATTGTCCAATAGGGTAATGTCACATCACAAAGTGTAAACTAATGTGGGTACACCATAGTGTATATGTAGCAATGTTCTTATCGATTGAGCTTTGCTATTTGTACACTAATTTTTGACACGTTGTTTGATCTTGCATTGTTTTGAAGTGTCAATTTGGTGGGAAAACTATTTGAAATTTAAACTGTTCAGTAGGATAATGTATCATGGCAAAGTGTAAACTAAAGTGTGCACCATAATGTATATGTAGCAAAGTTCTTACCGATTGAATTTTGCTATTTGTACACTGATTTTTGACACATTGTTTGACGCCTGAATTGTTGTCAAATGTCAATTGGATAGAAAAATTGTGCCAAATTTAAACTGTCCAATAGGGTAATATCACGTGGCAAAGTGTAAAGTAAAGTGTACACCATAGTGTACACGTAGCATGGTCCTTACCGTGTACACTGATTTTTGACACGTTGTTTGACATTTGCATTGTCGTCAAGTGTCAATTGCATGGAAAAACTATTTGATATTTAAATTGTCCAACAGGATAATGTCACGTGAAAAAGTGCAAACTAAAGTGTACACTATAGTGTAAATGTCACAAGGTTCTTACCGATTAACTTTGCTATTTGTACACTGATTTTTGACACGTTGTTTGACACTTGAATTTTTGTTAGGTGTCAATTTGGCAAGAAAATTGTTTGAAATTTAAACTATCCAATAGGGTAATGTCACGTGGAAAAGCGTAGACTACAGTGTACACCATAGTGTACATGTCACCAAGTTCTTATTGATTGAACTTTGCTATTTGTATACTGATTTTTGACACGTTGTTTGACATTTGTATTGTTGTCAAGTGTTAATTGCATGGGAACACTATTTGATATTTAAACTATCCAGTATGGTAATGTCACGTGCCAAAGTGCAAACTAAAGTGTACATCATAGTGTACATGTGCCAATGTTCTTACCGATTGAACTTCGCTATTTGTACACTAATTTTTGACACTTTCATTGTTGTCAAGTGTCAATTGGATGGGAAAATTGTTTTAAGTTTAAACCGTCCAACAAGGCAATGTCATGTGGTAAAGTGTAAACTGAAGTGTTCACCATAGTGTACATGTGGCATGGTCCTTACAGATTGAACTTTGCTATTTGTACATTGATTTTCAACATGTTGTTTGACACTGGCATTGTTGTGAAGTGTCAATTGGATGAGAAAACTATTCGAAATTTAAACTACCCAACAGGGTTATGTCACATGGAAAAGTGTAAACTAAAGTGTACACTATATTGTATATGTAACAAGGTTCTTAATGATTGAACTTTGCTATTTGTACACTGATTTTTGCCACATTGTTTGATACTTGCATTGTTGTCTGTTGTCAAGTGTCAATTAGATGGGAAAACCTTTTGAAATTTAAACTGTCCAATAGGGATATGTTACGTGGTAAAGTGTAAACTAAAGTGTACGTCATAGTGTACATGAAGCAGGGTTCTTACCCATTGAATTTTGTTATTTGTACACTGATTTTTGACACATTGTTCGAGACTTGCATTGTTGTCAAGTGTCAATTGGATTGGAAAACTCTCTGAAATTTAAACTGTCCAATAGGGTACAGTAACGTGGTAGAGTTTAAACTAAAGTGTATACCATAGTATACATGTTGCATGGTCCTTACTGATTCAACTTTGCTATTTGTACACTGATTTTTGATACGTTGTTTGACACTTGCATTGTTGTCAAATGTCAATTGCATGGAAAAACTATTTGATATTTAAATTGTCCAACAGGGTAATGTCACGTGGCAAAGTGCAAACTAAAGTGTATACCATAGTGTACATGTTCTAAGGTTCTTACCGATTGAACTTTGCTATTTGTACACTGATTTTTGACATGTTGTTTGACACTTGCATTGTTGTCAAGTGTCAATTAGGGGAAATTTTTTTTAAAATTTAAACTGTCCAACAGGGTAATGCCACGTGGAAAAGTGTACACCATAGTGTACTTGTCACCAAGTTCTTATCGATTGAACTTTACTTTTTGTACACTGATTTTTGACATGTTGTTTGACGCTTGCACTGTAGTCTAGTGTCAATTGGGCAGGAAAACTGTTTGAAATTTAAACTGTCCAACAGGGTAATGTCACATGGAAAAGTATAAACTAAAGTGTACCCCATTGTGTACGTGTCCCGAGGTTCTTACCGATTACACTTTGCTATTTGTACACTAATTTTTTATACGAATTTGACACTTGCATTGTTGTCAAGTGTCAAGTGGATGGGAAAATTGTTTGAAATTTAAACTGTCCAACAGGGTAATGTCACGTGGAAATGTGTAAACTAAAGTGTACACCATAGTGTACGTGTTGCGAGGTTCTTACTGATTACACTTTGTTATTTATACGCTAATTTTTGACACATAATTTGACACTTGCATTGAGGTCAAGTGTCAATTGAATGAGAAAGCTGTTTGAAATTTAAACTGTCCTACAGGGATATGTCGCGTGGCAAAGTGTAAACTAAAGTGTACACCGCAGTGTACATTAGGCAAGGTGATGTAAACCCCGTAGCGACGTCGACTACGAAACCTACAAAGAGATTGACAAATCCAAGAAAGCCAAATTAATCCAAGAGTTTAGGATTAACCCAAAAGGAATTCGAACCAAGAAATCCAACAAGAACGACGCTTGAAAGACCCCTTGATCACACAATCCAAGTATTAAATCTGGTTGTTTGAACGCCACACGTTAACACTTGATAAGTTTGAAGTTGTTCAATGAAGAACGATGAAGAGAAGACAATATGCCTCACTTTAATTCAATATCAATGATGTCAAAAGTTTTTAACAATTGAATGAAAACTCCTATTTATACTAAACCTAAAAACTAGGTTAAAATCGTGCAAAAGTTGAGCATAATCCCCAAAATATGGAAAAGAATAAAAAACTAACAAAATATGGAAAAATACGAAAAATAGGAAATTCGCCAAAATATGGCCCATGCGGCCGCATGGTGTATTTTCATGCGGTTGCATGGTTAAACCAAAAATCCATCTTGAGTTTCGGTATGCCTCCATGTGGTCGCATGATGTTTTAGCTGTGCGGTCGGACAGGCTTGTTTTCAGCCTCCGATTTCGTCACTTGATAACAAATTGATCCAAGTTGATTCGGCCTTCGATCCGAACATGAAAGTTGCTCCATTTTGAGTCCCGAACATGGTTCCATCAATGGTTTCTTGAATGAGCAATCCTATCGCTTGTTTCACTTGCTTTGCCCTTGATCGCGTCATTGGTCCGCTATCGACTATCAACGGATCTCGTCTCGCACTCGTCTTCGTCGGGCTCCACTCCTAGATCATATCATCCCCTCCCTCTTCAAAAGGATTCATCCTCGAATCTAAACCTACATCAAATAGAGAGAGATCAGATACATTAAAAGTAGTCGAAACATTGTACTCACCTGGAAGGTCCAACTTGTAAGCATTGTTGTAACGCCCCAAATTTTATCGACCTAAAATTTGAGGTGTTACCGATATCATTTCGTATCGCATACATAAAGCGAAAATATTTAATTCGAAATTTAAAACTCTTGATTTATTTAATACTCAAATACCAAATTGAATAAACAAAATGTCGCGTAAACATAGAACATTAAACATAATTAAATTGAAGCACATAATCCTAACAGAATTATTTTAAAACATTTTCTTGCGAAGTTTTTCTTTACTTGGCAACCTGCGCACCGCTCAGCCACCATCCACGTTGACCGTACTGATCTGAAATATTGAAATTGAAGGAGTGAGTAATTATACTCGGTAGGATACGTGCGTCCAAACAATATAATAATTTAAAATATAAACTCATAACATTTAATACCAACATTTCGTCAAGAGCAATCGATGATCAGTCGAAAGCTCTAATACAATTTGAGAAGACCCGAAGGCGATCTCACATTTCATTTCATTTCGTAGGGACCCGCAGGTCAAACATTTCATTTCATTTCATAGAGACCCGCAGGTCGAACATTTCATTTCATTTCATTGGACCCGCAGGTCGATTAGCATTTCATGAAATAAATCACGTCAAAAACTATAATATTGAAAGGATGAAACAACTTGCACATAAAGTATCCTACTTCGATTGATAATAAAAAAGTAAGGAATTCACGTTCCCAAAACCTTTTTGCTGTTGTCGTGTCTTGTGGATTTAAGGTCGATCCAGTGGAAATTCCACGTGCTAAAATCCTTTCTAACAGTATTAAAACCCGTTTTCGACAATACAAAGAGAACACTTCTGGAATGGAGACTTGGACAGGCAGTGAAGAGTTAAGTGAAGATGGAAGAGAGTGGTTTTTATCTCATAAATTTTCGAGGATTTGGAATGAATTTATAGTGTAAGGGAGGTGTAAAATTAAGAAAGGTTTTGACTGCCAATGTGACGCCCCGAATTCTAGCAACCCGGAACGTTACCAAACGTGAATTGATTAATAAAGTGCTTGAAGCAAATACATTTTAATATAACAAGGAATTGAGTAAAAATATTGAACAACCTTAATAAAAGGTAAATTAAATTAAATAACATATGCGAAACAATTTGGAATCATATCTTTTATCAAAACACTAATAAAAGTAGTTCTAACGAATAATAAAAATAGGACTAATTGAAAATTATGACGTGACTCACAATAAAATAATCTACTGTTATTAAATATTCTAAAAATTAAAGTACTTCATGATGTAGATCCATTGGTCCAATATGCATCCATACACCGCCGTCCAGCATACTAATTATTACCTGAAAATTGTAAATAAAGAGGGATGAGTATAACGAGTTATACTCAATGAGATGCTTGCTACTCCACATTCAAATCAAACGTGAAATTATGCATAAATTATCTTACCAACATAACATGAGAATTATCACACCATGACAAATGATAATTCAAGCAAGCGCTGCAAATAACGTGAAGGCTAAATTGTGCCTTAAACTGTATCATGATTTCTCCCGAAGGAGCTCTGAACTGAAGTAATTAAATCCATACATGACAACGTATTTGAAAAGATGTGGACAAACCACTAATAGCACTGAGCATCTCACCTTTTGAAGATGAACGTGGAAAATAAAATTGCTGAAAACGTGATTCTTTATTGCGATTCCAAGGCCTTAAAAAGGCTTAATAATATGGAGAAATATTTTAAAGAGGAGAAGAGAATAAAGACGTGCAGAAGAAGAATGATGAATTAATGACCGAATGCTTGAGGTTTAGTGCTATATTTATACTAAACCATGGTGTAGGGTAATCACGTGGGAAGTGGAATTTTGCTAAGATTTGAACTCTAAATTTCTGTGCACATCACATAAGTTAGTTTAGAATTCTGATCCCATAAATTAGTTTGAAATTCTGATTGGTGATTTCTTATGGGATTCTGCCGAGTTTTATATCAGATAAGGAAAGGATAAAGATAAAGAGGTTGCATGACCTTTACACACGTGGACTGATCTTCTATTTTGATGAATCTGATTGTTTATTGGTTTTGATAAGTTCAAAATCAGCTACAATTATAATAAGGAAAAGGACAAAGAGGCGTGAATTTGATTGTTTGCTGCTTGAATTCACACGTGGGCTGGGAAACCAAATTGGCCTCCTATTTGCACATTTTAATAAAATAAATAACTAGTTAATCTCCTGTTTCGATCAAAATAAATGGAAGAGTGTGTCAAATGAAATTTCTATACAACTTAACTAGTTTAATTAATTAAAGTCCTAACTATTCTAATACAATAATTATTAGAAGACTTTATCAGAATCCAAATCCTATATGATTAAGAATAATAATTTCTATCTTAATTAAAGTAGATTAGTATTACAAGTAACCAATAATTTATTATAATAAAGAGACTTTATCCTTTGCACACGTAAACACTAGGATAAATTTAGTTTCCTTATTACATTTGTTAAACAACTTAAATGGATAACTAATAATCTCCTAATGGCCGAAACAAACTGGTTAAGGTAAGTTTATTAATTAATTAGAATTTCCTTTATGCCTTGATTCTTCTATTGATTATATCTTAATTCAACTTATCCAAAATATCTTTTTCTTAATCCTAGTATATATAATTAATTATTATCCATCAAAGGAGTCCAATATTGATATTGTAATTTAGCTCGAATTAATAAATAATATTATTAACTAAGTAGTTTTCTTAATTGGCTATAACTCAAGTTTAACGAATCCAAATTGAATTTTTCTTGAGTCCATAATTCGCCATTTACTACGAGCTTCAAAATGAGCCCAATATTGATAGGGTAATTCTAACTCCTTCAATAATTAACTATTTGGCCTATTTAATAAAGGTATAAAATCTGAAACTTATTTTCACTTTGGTCCTTCAACTATAAAGATATTCACATAGATCCAAATTAACCATAGAAATAACCAATTAACTTGTATAAAGACATAACTGAACTTTGCATTCCTATTAAATAAATTAATGCTAAGTAAAAATTTGGGATTTTACAGCCAAATTTGTTAAAAATATATAAAGGGTAATTATGCAATCTAACCAACAGAAATCTCGTCAATTAGCTCATTAATCTGTCCAATTACAAAAACTCTTTGTTTGGATATCAATCAAATCAAATTAATTAGGATCTATTTAACATAAGAATGGTCAAGTTAGTGTCAATTTACATAAAATGACAGGTTATCATATCATCATATAAAATGAAATAAATAATTAAATAGTATATTATAAGCTTAATTGGACTATATGCCCAAAATAACTAAATTTGTTGGAGGCCCCAAATCGTGTCTTACCATTATTCAAATTCAATTAGCAATTAAAATTAGCCTTTATCCTAATTGAGAGTTGGAAATGTGCGTGCACATGTGGCTACCCATACTCTTATCATAAGGAAATTTACCAATTCTAATTTAAAGGCAATTGACACAATTGAGAGTACAAGGTATGATTGCCATGCATCATGCCTAGAGGCTAGAGATTGTCCAAAAATATTATTATATAATAACAAATTCATTCAAATCTAGGCCTAAAAACGTGTGTCATCTTAGAATGGTCAAAAAGTCATAAATGTTAAATCAATATTCTAAGTAGGATTCCAAAATCAAAGCAAATGAATTTTTAATCTAAGAGAAAATTATTTTATCCAAACATCAATCAATCATAGTTAACTAAAAATATCTCTCCCTACACATTACTTTGCAAACTACTTAAATCACGAGTACCAGAAAATCAGAAATATTGGCAGATAAATGTAAACAAGGATTAAAAATAATTAAATCTCTTTCTCTAATAGAAAAGATAAACATTGATTATTATGATAAAATACTAGCTTCTTTTCCTAATTATCTTAAAAGAAATATTGTTAAATAATAAAAACGATGCTTATTATCTATGTTTCTTTGGATTGAAATAACTTAGTTTTAACTTAAAAGAACTCATATTTTCTTGAGCTAAAAATACGTTATTAAATGCGAGCTACAAAATGAGCCCAATATTGATATACTTATACTCATTCTATCAAAATGTAATTATTGGTGCCAAATAAAATATGACTTTAAACACTATTTCATTTCAGTCCTCAAATTTTAAAACTATAACATATAAGACAAATATATTTTTATTCCAAAATTTTCGGGGCGCTACAATTGTCATTTATCTTTTCAATCACTTGAAATGGACCATCGTCCCTCAGTTGCAACTTGGACTTCCTTTGCTCCGAAAACTGCTCCTTCCTAAAGTGTACCCAAACCCAATCTCCTGGCTCGAATGTCACGCGCTTCCTACCTTTGTTCACCTGCGACGCAACTAGTTTACTTTTGTTTTCAATTTGCGCTTTTACCTTTTAATGGAGTGACTTAACCAATTCCACCTTCTTTTTGCCATCTAAGCTACCACTTTCATTCATAGGTAAAGGAATTAAATCCAAAGGAGTTAGTGGATTAAAACCATATACAATTTCAAATGGAGAATATGACATGGTAGAGTGAACAACTCGATTGTATGTAAATTCAACAAATGGTAGACACTCCTCCCAACTCTTCAAATTTTTATTGATTACTGTGTGTAACAATTGTGTCATAGTCCTATTCACTACCTTGGTTTGTCAATCCATTTGCGGGTGACAAGTTGTGGAAAATAGTAACTTAGTGCCTAACTTACCCCATAAAACTCTCCAAAAGTGACTCAAAAATTTGACATCCCGATCCGACACAATGCTTCTAGGAACCCCATGTAAACACACAATCTCTTTAAAGAATAAGTCACCAATGTTCGTGGCATCGTCAGTTTTGTGACATGGTATAAAATGTGCCATTTTGCTGAACCCATCTACAACCACAAAAATAGAATCTCGACCTCTCTTAGTCCTAGGTAAACCCAAAACAAAGTCCATCGAGATATCAACCCAAGGCTTACTAGGTATAGGTAAAGATGTGTACAAACCTTGTGGTATAACCTTAGATTTAGCCTTTTTACAACCTATGCATCAACTACAAATTCGTTCAACATCACTTTTCATCTTAGGCCAATAAAAATGCTCCTTCAATACATCTAAAGTCTTTTGAACCCCAAAGTGTCCCATCAATCCACCACTATGTGCGTCCCTTACTAACAACTCCCGAATAGAACAATTAGGAACACATAACCTATTTTCCCAAAATAAATACCCCTCATGCCTAAAGAACCTATGAACCGCCCCTTTTATGCATGACAAATAAATATCCAAAAATTCAACATCCTTTTCATACAATTCCTTAATATTTTCAAACCCAAGTAACTTAGAATCAAGAGTAGCTAGCAATACGTAGCTTCGCAACAACGCATCCGTCGCCACCACATTTTCCTTACCTTACTTATACCGAATGACGTATGGAAAGGTCTCAATGAATTCCATCCATCGTGCATGCCTCTTGTTCAATTTACCTTGTCCCCGCAAGTGCTTTAGTAACTCATGATCAGTGTGTATTATGAACTCTTTTGGCCATAGCTAATGTTGCCAAGTCTCCAAAGCTCGAACAAGTGCATAAAGTTCTTTGTCATATGTAGGATAATTTAAAGCAGTTCCACTCAATTTCTCGCTAAAGTATGTGAGAGGCCTTCGACCCTGCATTAAAACTGCTCCAATCCCTATTCCTGATGCATCACACTCAATCTCGAATATTTTATCAAAGTTAGGTAATGCCAAAACAGGTGTTTCACACAATCTACCTTTAATAGTATTAAATGCAAGTTCCTGTTCATCACCCCAATGAAAACCTACACTCTTTTTAACTACTTTCATGAGTGGTGCGGTGATAGTGCTAAAATCTTTCACAAATCGCCTATAAAAACTAGCCAAACCATGAAAACTCCTAACTTCTGTTATGCTTTTAGGTGTCGACCAATCTCTAATAGCTTTTATCTTTTCATCGTCTACTTCTGCCCCATTAGCACTAACCACAAAACCAAGAAAAATAACTCTATCCATACAAAACATACATTTCTTAAGATTAGCATAGAGTTGTTCTCTCCTTAAAACAATTAACACACACTTTAAATGTTCCAAATGCTCTCCTAAGTCTTTGCTATAGATTAAGATGTCGACAAAATAAGCCACAACAAATTTTCCTATAAAAGCACGTAAAACATGATTCATTAAATGTATGAAAGTGCTAGGTGCATTTGTGAGTCGAAACGGCATAACCAGCCATTCATATAAACCATATTTAGCTTTAAAAGTCGTTTTCCATTCATCACCCTTCCGCATACGAATTTGATGATACCCGCTTTTTAAATCAATTTTAGAAAATATTCAAGCACCATGTAATTCATCAAGCATGTCATCTAACCTAGGTATAGGGTGACGATACTTTACCGTTATGTTGTTGATAGCCCTACAATCCATGTACATTCGCCATGTTCCATCCTTTTTTAGTACAAGCAAAATCGGTACCGTACAAGGACTCATGCTTTTCTTCACGTATCCTTTACTCATTAACTCCTCCACTTGCCTTTGAAGCTCCTTTGTCTCCCCGGGATTACTTCAATAAGCTGGTTGATTTGGAATGACAGCTCTGGGTATGAAGTCAATTTGATGTTCAATGCCTCGAATAGGCGGCAATCCACTTGGTGCATCCTCCGGAAATACATTGTCGAATTCCTGCAACAAAGACTTATCCAAACTAGGGAGGGGTGGGTTAGTTTCCTCAAAATTGAGGAGTGATTCCTTATAAATGAACAAAATCATCTCTTTTCCCTCCTCAAATCACTCTCTTTTGTAAAGAGATTCACTCGTGTTTTCTCTCTTCTCTCGGGGCACTCTCTCTCTTTTCTCTCTTGTGATTGCTCTCTCTTTTTCTCTCCAATGCTATCTCAACATTTTCTCTCTTTTTCTCCAACTCACTATTTGCTTTAGATTTTTTCTAACTCTTTTGCTCTCCTATCTTCCCCACTTCTCAATTTTAATTGGTCTTCATAGACTTGCGCAAGTGTTAATGGCACAAGAGTAATGGTCCTTCCATCCTTAATGAAACTATATCGATTTTTGTACCCATCATGCATTACCTTCCTATCATATTGCCATGGTCGTCCCAATAAAATATGTCCGCTTGCATTGGCACCACATCACACACTAACTCGTCCTTATAACTTCCAATTTACAAATTAAGTAACACCCTTTGATTCACCCTCACCTCGCCACTCTCATTCAACCATTGCAATTTATAAGGTCTCGAGTGTCTCAACAATGTTAAACCCAATTTTTCTACAAGAGATATGCTAGCTACATTAGTGCAACTACCACCATCAATTATAACACTACATACTGTATTGTTGATGTGGCATCGAGTGTGGAAAATGTTCTCCCGTTGCAACTCCAAGTCATCGACTTTGACGTGAGTAGTGAGAGCTCGCCTTGTAACTAGTAGGTCCCCAACCGGCCCTTCAACTTTTTCTTCTGTACTAATACCCTCCAACGCCGGCATGTCATCAAACTCGCCATCACTATCGCTCACAATCTCTCCATTATCCCGCAACACCATCGTCTGTTTGTTTGGGCATTGAGAAGCAATATGCCCCGTTCCCAAACACCTAAAACATTTG